ACATTTTTTATTTTTATTTCTAGAGAAATAAAAATGTTCAGTAAAAATTGCGGAACTCACAGCTCGCTCACCGATTACGGAATCGTCTCAGAAAATTGAAGTGACGGTATCGTAATTTTCATTAAACCCTCACAGTAACGATCGATTCAAGGGAATAAAAACTTCGGAGGTCAATGAGACACCAAAGGGGAAAGACAACGACACCTGGGGGCAGGTGGCTAAAAGATCGCCAGCTGTCATCGCGCAAATCCTCCCCCTCTTTAACCATCCTCGACCCCTTGAGGACAATTTTCCTCATTCATCCCCATGACAGAAGTTCGTCACGAGCACAAGTTCTCCATTGTTTATACCACCACTCTTTTCGGTGAGCGTAAATGCCGGTTCGTGCAGTTCACCCATTCAAATGTTTTCTCAATTTGTTTGAGGATATTTTTCATTCTATCAGTGCAGAACGCGTGTCATCGTGTGTTTTCTTCTGGAGATGTTGGTATTATCGGGACCTCTGGTTGGCCTAGCATCAAGTATCATCTTCATTTTTACATTTTTGTTTTGCATTTTATCGGGAAATAGATTAAATAAACTGACCTAAAGAGGAGTGCATGTAGCCCTCGAAACGTGAACAAACGAATTTTTCCAGGGGGAAAAATGCAGAGAAATTCACGTACCAGCACTACAAGCGAGGCGAAATTTACGCTCTTGAAAAAATTATCGTACGGCACCAGAAATTTTATTTTGCATCACCAGAAAAATTACCATGCAGTGCCATATATTTTCCTGTATTTCCACGAAATTTTCTTGAGACCACAATAATTCAGTACACTGAGAGAAAAACGACAAAGTTCTCAAGCAAGTCTTACTTCTGCCAAGAAAATAGTTTTTTGAAAATTATCAAAAAAGGCTTTTTTGTGCCAAACATGCAGAGTGCGCAGGAATGAAAAATTTTTGTCGCGAAAATAGATTTAGTAGTTCAAAAAAAAATTGCATTCTTTGTACATGCAAGTGATGTCATTTCTAGCACTACTCCTTCGTTATTCGATACTCCCATACGTATNTGCGCAGGAATGAAAAATTTTTGTCGCGAAAATAGATTTAGTAGTTCAAAAAAAAATTGCATTCTTTGTACATGCAAGTGATGTCATTTCTAGCACTACTCCTTCGTTATTCGATACTCCCATACGTATTTTGCTCCCGAAAAATCTTTGTTTTATGCGAAACAAGGGATAGTAGTTTTTTTAAATGAACAAATAATAATGATATGACAGAAATCTTGTAATTTAGGGATAAAATATTTGTTGATAAATTTCCCTCTATGAGATATTTTTATTCTGAAAAGGCACCGTCTGGTGTGAATTATCCGCCTCTTGAGCCAAATATTTCGTTGCTGTCGAAAGCAGAACAATTATTCATGTTTGAGACTTTCCGAACCAAACAAATTCTTTTTTGGCAATTTTCAACTAGCGATCTTGTTGGCTCAAACAAGACTTGTTCGACAACGTATTAGTTTTTCCCTCAGTATAGCAAAGTGGTAAAACGGTTTAATTCGACTCATCTCACAGTTGAGTTTTTGAGGAATATTTCGGACTCCAAGGGAGATAGCGAAATTTTCGTAATGACATTTCAGTAGCGAAGCGGTAAACCGGGTCAAGTCGTTCTTTACTATTGGCTAGTTTTTGACGAATATCTCGGAATCTAAGAGAGATAGCAAAATTTTTCTCATGACTTTTTTTATAACGCTCTATTGGCTCTACAAAAAAGGTTATAATAAAAATGTTGCTATCTCCCTTACATTCCGAGATATTTACTGAAAACGGCTCAATAGTCAAAATTGACTTGTACCGTTTTACCACTTCTCAACTGCATTCCCCTAGCGTTGCAAAAAAAATTCCTAGTGCTGCCCAATAATTTCGTTTCTCAAGAAATCAAATTTTCCAACATTTTGAACTCAACTTGCTCATAACGACCTGACTTCATCAAGTGTAATTATTAACTTAAAAATTCAGTCATTTCTACCTTAATGTCACTTCCTCTTCCTTCTTCCTGAATTTTTTCTATCATTTTTATTATTTTTCACGAGTTTATACACGCGACCATTATAACGGCGACGAGAAGGCTCGACTCTTCTCCATTTGAAATTTACTACTAAGTATTGATTTTACAATTTGGAGTCCAACCAAAAGTAAAAAATAAACCAAGCCAAATGTATACTCAACTTTGATGGAGTGCCACCTATTTGGCCTCCCTCTCTCCCCTCTCCTTTTTTTTCTCTCTTTCCCCTTTTCGCATTTTCCCCGCTACCTGAGCGTCCGAGAACGGTTGCGAAACGTGGCAGAAAAGAGAATGACCGAGGAGGGGAGGAAAAAAAACATACAAGACATGAAAAATATAATACGTCTGGGCTGAGAAAAAATTGGAGAGAGGGAGGGAGGGGGCAGGGGCAGGGGGGAATTACACATTTTGTCCAACCCTCCTCTCTTCTCCCCCTCCCCCCCAGCTTCTTGTTCCACCTGCTCGAAACAAAGAGCCAGAAATTTGATCGTTTGTCAAGTTTTATACTCGTCTTGAGTATGATTATGCTTTGTAGTTGTGGATATAATAAAAATGAGGATATTTTGTCGAGTTGGCTTTTGGAATGAATCCATAATGGCTTCGACTGAGGCTGACGGCATTCCACCTTTGGTTTTTTCCTCCAAGAGGGCAGGTATCGAAAAGTACTTGAGATTCTAGAAATTACTCGAGATGTCGTGAATCATAAAATGATGATAGTCAATGATACTCAACTATTTAAATCAAAATCAAGTGTAACCAGGTAAAAGTCAATGTTACTTTCATTTTCCCCTGAAATCACGAGCACACGTGACAGCTCACGAAACTCGAGATAGAAACTCCAAACGCGGCGGGAGTTTGGGGTCTTGTGATAACAAAGTTTGGTATTTTCGATGAGCGCAATCAGGTGATTAGTTTTGGAGATATTGAACTTTGTGGGGGAAACTATTTTGGTCAATATCTGAAAAATCAGTCGACCGAATTCAATTTTCTTGGTCGAAATATTAATCACTGGGTCTTCTGTCTGTTCGAAATAAAATAGGGACACGCTGGTAGGGGGAATTGAAATTTCAGGAGCAGGTGGCATCACTGTTCAGGAGAGTGATATTAAATTCGGTTCAGGGGGAGTAAATTAGGAAATGCCGAATTTTTTAGCAGCAAGAGGACGTGAGTTCCTCAACTTATTTGAATCTCCAATCGAAACGTGAATATTCAGTACCAAATTACCTTGAATTTGGCTAATCTCTGTCAATTTTCAAGGAGAAATTGAACTAATAATCTAGTTTTCATTGATTTTCCCATATAATTTTGAATTTTGAATTGAATTGTGATCAAAATTTCCGTGAAGTGTACGGAAAAGATCAGCAAAAAATGTTTAACAGTACATTGAGAAAAAAAATTATTTTTCCCAAATGTCCATTTACTTGAGAGAAGTATTTTTTTCAATGCCGTATTTCTCCAGTCGAGTCATTCCCAGACAATCGCCATTAAGTGTCAATTATGACAATTATATTGCTCCAGAAGATGAGCATGTTAGTTATCACTTTGAGTGCACTCCGTCAATAATTATCAACACTAGACCTTATCTATTCGTTGTGAAAATGAAGAAATCGAATTTATTAAAATTCATATACTCATAGATGTTTTATAAATATTGATAATGACTTTGTTGGATTATTGAGTCAAATTCATAGAATCCATTCAACTGAGAAATGACGGTTACAAAAACGAATCGACGGGGAGGGCACCAGAGAGTCGCCTGAAAGTTTACATAAACATAAACAATGATTTCATAGGGAGAAAGAACAGTGAGTTCTTTCATTAGGTGACGAATATTCTTTTGGTCTTTGTGACCAGCATTTAATCTCTAGAGAGATCCGTAAAGAGCAGACGTTTCTTCCTCGTGCAATTTAAATGAAGACAAGAAATTAAAGTTCAATCCACTGCATTTCATATTTATTTATATATTCCATTTCCAATAGACTTAAAGAGAATTAAGAGAATGAAGAGTGAAACATCAATGAATAATTTTTAATCTTCGATTAACTTTTTTTTTGACTTTTTAAAATAATCTGATTAAAATCTGTAATTGTTGAAAAATGAGGGGAGGGTTATGAATTGATTTCCTAGAAAACTGAAAAAATTTCTTGAATTTTTCGGAAAATTTCAGCTTTCCAGATAACCGTAGATCTTCAAAGATTTTTCTCGAATTACTTGGGAAACCGAAGAATTTTCATGAATTTTGTAGAGTTTAGAATTTAGGTATGAAAATCTGAGGAGCAAGGATTGATTATTTTTGCGAATGGGAAGTGAAGAATAGAATTTTGGGAAGTAAAGAATAATTTGTTAGTTAAAAAAATTAGAAATACTGGAGATTTTTTTCAGCGGCTACTTCACGTGACTAATTGACCAATCAGAATTGAGGATTAGCGGTCAGGCAGTTCCGAGATATTTCGATATAAAAGAACTTCACGTTTCTTTCATCATTAGTAAATAGGAGGATTAAAAAATTGATCGAAATTCTTCCCTCTAGAAAATAAGAAATTTATGAAAAATGAATAATCATTGAAGGAGTACATCCAAGGTCAAATGCAACACAGTCATCCTCTAGATCAACATGATCGTCATAATGGAAACCTACTCGGGCTCACCTGGGCCTGACTCAGTAGGAAAAATACGATTTTGAAAAAATGAATGCTTCCCTCAAGTAAATGAAAATTTGGCAAAAATAATTTCTTTTTCAGTGTATACTTCCGCATATTAAATTTCGAAGCAATTTCCCCCACTTTCTTTCATAATTTTATAACAGCAGATAAAACGTTTCCAAAAAATTCAAGTTTCTCTGGTAACGACTGACATTTTTTGGAGAATAGACGCGAATCGAGAGTGACGAATGGTGATAAAAAGGAGAGGAGGGAGCAGGGGCTGAGGAGACGTGATCAAATGAGTTTATTTACCTTGTGCGCCCTCAGTGTCTGGCCCTCACAAGCGAGTGTGACGTCACAGTACGCCTGTCTCTCAAGCAACTGCGAGAACATAGTCTGCAGATTGCTGTGATGGTACTTCCATCTAAGGCAGTACTGCTGTGGAAACATATTTGACATTGTTGATGGTGGCGTTGTCACTGAGGCTGAAGGAACGCCGGAGTTACGTTGCTGTTGCATACGAGCGTTTTTATTCAAATCACCGAACTGTTTGTAATTATTTACGATGAACCACAGGGGGTTTCACACGTTTCGGGCGTTGATAACACCTGCGATGACAAAGAACAAATGAAAAAAAGCCCTCACTAAATTCATGAGAATTTATTCCACTTGCTTACACGTATCGATTTGGTCCTAGAGATTTCCTCCTCGCGCTTGCCTCGATCGTCTGCACTCGAGACCCCTTATCTGTAAAAAAAAGCACAAGAAAAAAATTTAATTCTCTCCATATGAATTTTTCATAAAAACTTCATTCAAAAACAATGCGAAAAAAATTCCAACGGTTTATTAGATGCAAACGCTGTCCCTGGCATGAATATTTAATTCTTTTTCAGAGTATGCGAGTGAATAGAATTCTAGGAGAGGTGGAGGAAAAAAAAATTAAGGCGAGATATTATGAAGAAAAAGGAATGTAACTATAATAGACAATTGGAGTGGACAATTTCCGTCGACTGGATGACGCGAAATGACCCACAATTTTTTTTTCTCTTCGTCCATTTCCTCAAGTTTCTTGATTGAGGTAATTTTCAACTCTTGATTTGAATATTCACTCTTATCCGATAGAAACGTAGCAGATTTCGAGATATTATTGAGGAAAATTTGTTTCGTGAATAAACCCGGAACACTTCATCCTTCCTGTAATTCAATTAATCTCCGCTGAGAATCGGGGGGGTCCCTGTAAATTCATATCGTAACTTAATTTCCAGGGTTAAAATAGATACACCCCATGGTGAATGTCCGGGTGGAATCGATCGAGTCCTGACTCACTGGTCTTTTTTTAAAAGAAGAGCCCAGGATGGAAGGTCACAACCCTTGGTTGTCTGCGATTTCATGTTGAAAGATTTTGAAAATGGGGAAAAATTAAACGGAAAAGGAGCTTTCGCTGTTTGATATAGGGGGGAATACCCTTCGGTCACTTTATCGTAAAAATATTTATGTATTTATATCTTGAGGACTCGAAAGAAAGAGCCTCGTAAATTTTACGAGGGCAAGTATAAATTTTTATTTGTGAATGCTAACGAGTACCCATCAAAACTGGGGTAAAATAAAAATTCTCGAGACACACCGAGAAAAAAAATATAAATTGAAGTTTGAGGAAAAATTTCATGACACAAGGAGGATGTAATAGCTTGATTAAACTTTGATGCTGGGATATTCATAAAAATTTTAAAGTTTAATAAAGTTGGAGAGTGAATTGACTGGTGGCATTGATCGATTTCACGAAGAATTTTAGTTTAATCATGAGGTGGTGGTTGAAAAATGTTCCATTTGGATTTCACCCGGGTTTTAATATTTATCGGAATCAATCCAATCAGTATCCACTAACTTTTGAATGCAATTTTCGGAGACGGGATTCCACTCATTGATTTATGGAGTTTCAAATTATTACATTCATAGAATCAATGTCAACTCTGATGAAATTATATTCTGTCGGTTGGTAAAAACGGGCTAACAGTCTCTCGATTTATCCTAGATTCGTAGTTACTTTCTATCATGTCGAAGGAGGTTCTGATTGCAGTCGCCTGCTATCCGAAGTGAAAATCTCCCGTCAATTTCCAATTTTCTAAAACTCCGTAAATACGGGGAAAAAAAACATTCACGTGTTTACAGAAATTGACTTCCGCCTGTACTTGGAAATTTTCGAAAACTGGAGCTATTCTCCACTCGAGCGGAAAAAAAATTTGTGACACGGGAAATGATTTTGTCGTTCCGCTCACTTGATAATCGGTTTTTCAATCATCTTATCATTCTCACATTCTTTCCGTCATTTCGAAAAATCACTGAGATTTCAGACAACTCATTCGAGTTGCTGATAAGTTATTCTGGGCAAAACCGTTGCGTCATTGAGAGCATTGAGCAATAAAACTTCTAGAATTCCCGTTTGAGAATTCAAAATGACGAATGCAGTTTGAAAAATGCTAAATCCTCTTCGTTTCAACGTCCGCGATGGAAAAACAAATTATTTACCAGTGCCCAAAGGAATTCACGGAATTCCACAAACCAAATGATGTGAAGAAAATCATAGTGACTTGGCGCTTATTTATCCTGGCTATGATGGGCCCTGCCGCTCATTTAACTGCAGTGAGTGAGAGCAGTTGAGATGTCTCAGAAGGATACGCCGATTGAATACGTCAGAACATCTCACTGTTAGAAATTTCTTGAAATTTCAATCACAGCGTCATCTGAATTTTCGATTTTATGTATTTAAATTCAATTTCAAATGAGAGCGTTCGCAAAATTTCTCATTCATCTTAAAAATCCAGGAAAACTGGATTTTTCATGTTAAACAATCATTGATTTTTCAATTCAGTAGCGAAGTGGTAAAACGGTACAAGTCAATTTTGACTATTGACCAGTTTTCAATGAATATCGCGGAATCTAAGGGAGATAGCAATATTCTTGTTATGACCTTTTTTGTAGAGCCGATTGAGAGCTACAACAAATGTGATTACCAAAATTTCGCTATTTCTCTTAGATTCGGAAATATTCCTCAAAAACTCAACTGGGAGATGAGTTGATTTATTAAACCGTTTTACCACTTCGCTACTGAATTCAATTTCAACATTTTTAAGTGCTGCATGGGCCTGAAAATCGAGAATTACTTGAATTTTCAAGAAATTAACTGACTTGTCAATAAATGTAACTTTATCGTTGTTAAAAATTTCAAGCTTTTTCACTTAAAATTTCAAGGGTAATTTTTCAACAGTACATTGTCATCGATTACTCGTGTGTATATTCGGATTTGATAAGCCGAGCGGGTTTTTCAGACAGAATTAAATAAAACCGCCTCTATTTCCGACATTAACTTGGGTTATATCTTCATAATAATTGCGAAATAAAAGCCCCTTCTCACAAAATGAATATAAAATCGACGGAACGAGAATTACACCGTTCTCTCATTAAAAAAAAACTTGAGACTCCGCTCTTCCGATTAATTAAAAAATTTCAAAAAAGAAAAACCACCAATACACCGTGATTTATCGGAAATTGAAAAAGTTTCCATCACGTATCAAATATTCTTTTTTCCATTCTTTTCTGCATAGCTTACTCTCCCAGACAACAAAAGTCGATTGCAAAAAAAAAACAACGGAAGTGAAAAATTGAAAAATTAATTAAAGCCTACCATAACCCCCTGGATCCGAAAATTCTCAAACAAATCGTGCACAATCCCTCTTACTCTCCACGAGATTGTCCTGTACTCACTCCACAACCGATAAACACGAGGCGTTATCTTTCACGTCGAAACGTGAAGCTCTCGTCCATTCACAAACCCAACCGGGCGCTTCCCTTTTTCTCTCTCTCTCTCTCTCTCTCTCTCTCTCTCTCTCTCTCTCTCTCTCTCTCTCTCTCTCTCTCTGTCTCTCTCTCTCTCTGTCTNTCTCTCTCTCTCTGTCTGTCTCTCTCTCTCCACTTCACTCCGTTTAGCCGCTGTTCAAAATCAACCGCACGCACATGGTTTGCCCACACATGAATAATAAAAAATACTCCGTATGTAAACATACGACTTCGCCAAACACGAATTTCAAAATGCCAAAGACCAACTGCTAAACGAGATTTACGATTTTAATTACGACAATGTCTTTCTCTGCATTCAGTCTCCCAACAATTTACCGAGGATGAGTAATTCGTTATCAACGGAACATGCTACATCACTTGATTCATCAATATTGGCTCAATAACACAAATAATGGCAAATGCTGTTCAACCGTAAATTTCCAAAAATCAATGAGTAACGTCACGACAAAGGGCATGAAAAAAATTTCCACCGACGTATCATTCGTCAACCAAGCAAAAATTAAAAAGTTACGTTATAAAACGCAACGACCTACAATGCTACAAAATGCTTCGGAACTGCCTTTTCACCCTCCCCTCATTTTATTTCCTTCTTTTCCTTTATCTTTTGTCTCATTCTATTCCGCCTCCACCGTTCGCACATACACATGTACGCGAAAAAAAGAGAGAGAGGGAGAGAGAGAGAGAGAGAGAGAGAGAGAGAGAGAGAGAGAGAGAGAGAGAGAGAGAGAGAGAGGGGGGGGCGGGTGGTCTAGAGGGGGAGGTAAAAAAAAAAGTGAACCCATCGTCCAGCCGAGTCTCCCTGGCCTCCTCTTCTGTTGGCTTTTGCCTCATACCCGCTTTTTATCCCGCGCAGACAACGACGCTGTGTTTTTTTAATTTTTTTTTCACCTTCATTCCCCTCCACTCCCACCACGAGCTCGTCTGGCTCCCTACATCTTAGGCCAATGTACGCCCCCACTATCGCATCACCTCTCCTCCTGCGCCCCGCTTCTTCGCTCTTTTAGACGCGACAGAGCTTGTATCTCACTTCAAACTTTAACTTCTCTTCTTCTCTTTCACCACACAATTACTGTATCGTCCACGCTGTCTTGCTTTCCCGCTTTCTCTCCCTCTTCTCTCTTTTCACTCGGAAACCCCACCACTATTTTTTCCCGCCGAGACACTCAGGGGTGTAGCTGAAGACCGACAGGGGGCCGCCAATATTTTTTTTTCCTCCTTTTTTAATTAAATTTTTGCGCTGTCCGGAGAGGGGAGCTCTTTTTTTTGGCTAGGAATTTGAAAAAAAATTGAAGGTGGGGTCGATCAATTTTAATGGAAGCCGAGGGGTGCGAGAATGCAGAGGGAGATTATTTCTCGTTTGCAAAATATTATGGGGAAATTGAAGACATGCTTTTAGGGGATATTGAACGCTCGGTACGCATTCGATTTTTAAAGGAGCTGTTCGTTTGCTTTTTTCGAGTAGAAAGTAAAGATATTAAAAGGGAACAGAGTGGAATAATATTGGTCCACTAATTTTTCCACTAATCAGTGATGAAAAATGAATAAAATTGTTGAGGAAAATGCATGAATGCTGCCGTAATGAGCGAAGAGCTCAACTGAATCTAGAGAAAAATATGTTGTTGTGTCGAATCCATGCATTTTGCGGTGATTAATAGCGAATCGTCAATAAAAATGTCCATGACATTCAAAAGTTCAGGAATTTGGTGGAAAACAGCAGTCGATGAAATTGTGAGGGCCGTGATGAAATGAAATATTAATGTTACAAATGGCTCTAAAAAAGGCGATATTGAATGTTCGGTACGCATTCAATTTTTAAAGGAGCTGTTCGTTTGCATTTTTCGAGTAGAAAGTAAAGATATTAAAAATGAATAGAGTGGAATAATATTGGTCCA